TGCGCTCTGTAACAGCTGATCCCACTGTTCCTGGGTTCGCTCCCGAGCGCCCAAGGCCGCCATCATGAGCATGTCTAATTGTGCCTGCTGCCAGTGAACACCAACATTAGGCAGGACCATGTCATCAATCAGGATATAAGAGTCTGGGGCCATAACATCCTTAATATTCTGCAAAATCTCCACGCACTTGTGATCTGGCCAATCGTGGAGGATATTCCGTAGATAGTAGAATTTTGCTCCTGTCCGCCTGTCAATATTGTATGATACAGGGTAATCAAGAGAGTTGGAAGAGTCATACCTTTGACTGGCTGCGGAGTGAAAAAGTTATAAGCCATGAACTCTACGCCAGGATGCTGTGTCGCGTTGGCCGTGGTCGGGGCCAGATCCTGAACAATTACTCGGCCTTCGAGTTGGCTGTACTTCTCCCGGAAGGAAATGGCCTGCTGACCGAACCCTCCTCCAATATCCACGAAAAGGGCTCGGTCGGCGCTTGTTTCCTTGGCCTTGTCGGGGGCTGGGAAGACATCCAAGAAGGTAGGCATACCGAATCGATTGGCTTGCATGTGCTCATTGAAGAACGCCAAATTCTCAGGGTGTTCTTGCAGCCATAGAAACGCCGGTAATTCCGTGTTCATGACTCTCTGGAAAGGTGTCTTTACATTGTCCTGAATATCAGGGTATCCGTTCTCTTTCAGGAAGGCCGGAAGATCTTGGATGGACGGGCCGGCATTGTTGAAGCTGCATTGTAAGGCAGTCATTAAATCGAGTCCCTTGTGAGAGTCGGGGTAAGGATATTACATACAGATGGCCAACAGCAGCTTGGAATCCACGCTGGGAAAAGCTTTTGGAGATGTTGGACGCAGTGAACGTATCCTTGGTAACCTCCTGGACTGCGTGATAGGAAGCCAAATAACGCAGTAACCGGCCTTGTTGCGGTTAGAACCGAGCTCTTCCAGTTGTGAGGGAATTACATACCCATGAACACTGGATTGGCTCCTGTGCTCTCACTCAGCTGGTCCACAGTGAGGGGGCCATCGGCCTGTGTTAATAGCTCGAATAGCTTTAGATCGATGGCGGTACGGATACAAGCCAGTTGCATATTCTGGTGAGGGAATATTGAATTAATTTAACTCGGCTTAGCCAACTGCAGGAGCGGATGCGTACGTAGAAGGTAAAGCGCTGAACAGTATCATCTGGAGACTCGATAGAAGCATACAGCTTGCTCAGTGAATCCAAGATATCCTTTCGCGTTTTCTCATCACCGGCCTTGGCCTGTCTCCGGACTTCTTCCACTAGGGCCTCCATGGTTTTCTTTGCTCGTTCGTATGTTTGCTGGGGTTTCGAGTCACTGACAGATGTTGAATTTTGAAAACCAATGGGGCGAGATGAGGCCTGAGTAGGGCAGGATTGTTACTACTATTTAACTACAGGGAAGATCACACTGGACACAATGTGCAAACATCACATTGGGCATCCTTGATGCTGGGTTTGTGCTGGAGGACAAAGAAAGAACCTCTGGGCGGTTAATGTCAATGCCGCCTCCAACAAGCTACGACTGGATCACCAGGGTACCCTTGCGACTTCTTTGGTAGACTAAACTCCAGTAAACTAAGCTTTAGCTTGTATGGTGGAGCTAATTTGGGGGCTGCTGTAGGCTGTAGCACTGAAGCCCTGGTCCACATAGGGTATGTCGCTCCCCGCCACGGAGGGCCGATTTCCATCACAAACGATAATACAGACGGGATAATCAGATCGACAGCTGGTGGAGACCCTAACCCACAGACAGCAATCATGCCGGGCCTTCCCAGCCTTTGAGTTGGCCGCTCGGTTACAGAATTTCCCAAATTCATACTAATTTCTGACCGGCGGAGCCTTCGACCAAGTCCATTCGCGGCTCGCGTTCCAGTTGCATGTCTCCGGCCAGCGCAGCCACAGGGATTGACGAACGAATCACACTAACCAACTGGTCAGTACCTGTCGGCAGAGGATAAACAGCTTGCTAATAAACTAATGAGAAATCGTACAGAAGTGTCAGCAATACGCTTTGGCTGCCGATAATCTCAGTGGATGGTGGCTTAACTCCAGATGTGGTAATATTATTTCGGCTATCCCGTAGACTAAACATGTTCCCAGCAGGTACTTCTCCTCACTTTGGCCCCCAGACAGGTACAGCATTGTACATGAGTCCGATACAGCCACAGGTCGATCGGGCTCACTACCACACAAACTGGCGAGGTTGACTGCATGTTCCAGCTGCACGTCTACGCCTGTGGGGGCGTCTTATTCATGGATGCATGCTTATATGCGTGAAAACCCCTCCTTTCGCTATGATGACAAGCCGAACCCATATCAGTCGCCCCTACCAGCCCCGGTCGCGAAGCAGAAAGAAAAGCATTCAATATGAGTGCACCACCGGCTGGCGGTGATCAGAATCGCGGCCCTGCTCTGGTGGCCATTTACTGGGCCGAGACATCTTTCGCCATTCTGGCGGTCGCATTGCGGCTTTATGGTCGGAAACTAATTAATGGCTTTGGCGCTGATGACTATATGATGGTCTTCACCCTGGTACGCACTCCATTATTTTCCTATAGCCCTGATCCAACCATACTAATATGTATCTGCTCTTCCCCTTCGTCAGCTCCTATTCATCACTCTAGCTTCTTTTGTGACCTACCTCGCCGACAAAGGAGGCTGTCGACATCTATACTACTTAACAACCGACCAACAACTCTTGGTCGTGAAGTTCAACTGGATCACTCAAGTATGGGGTATTTTCGGCTTCGCGACCGGCAAGAGCTCAGTGGCTCTACAAATCAAACGAATCCTGGGCCCGAATGATAACTGGATGAAATGGCTCTTATGGTTCCTTATGATCTCTACCACCATCTTCTGCGGGTTGGACTGCCTCTTCGGCTTCGTGCAGTGTGATCCTCCTCGCGCTCTATGGGAGCCTTGGATTCCCCATACCTGTTGGAACACCAATGTACAGGCGAACTTTGCGATATTCATATCAGGTATGTTGCCAATAATACCTCGTGAGACCATCTTTGCCTTTGGACTATCTAACTGATATCGTTGCCTACAGCATGGAACGTGCTGGTAGACCTTGTCCTCGCTGCTATCCCCATCCCGATTATCTGGCGTACGAGCCTCACCCTCAAGCAGCGGATTGCTACCTGTACCCTTCTTGGGCTTGGTCCATTGTTAGTATTCGATCCTTTATCTCCTTACAAACCTACTAACGTTCTTCTCTATGATAGAGCTGCAGCCTTCGGCCTCGTCAAAATCCAATACCTCGCTGGACTGAAAGAGCGTTCTGACCTAACATGTACAGCATCCCTTCTTCCCAACCCCCTCTTTCATTGCAGTGGTTACTGACTCCGTCTCCTCACAGGGCAAACATACAACCTATACGTCTGGTCCGGGTCCGAACTTTTCGTGATCATCATCTGCGGCTGCGTGCCCCCGATGCGACCTATATTCACGACTCTGTTCGGACAAAACAAGAGCCAGTTTACAGGCTACTATGACTCCTCCTCTGGATATAAGCGTCGACAGAGTTACAAACTCAGTACCCTGGGATCGTCGCAGCCGGTCCAAAGTCAGGATGAGGATACCGAAGCGCTGCATTCTCGGGCGGAGGGGGCCGGATCACATCTGCCCCTGTCGCGTTTTACTGAGGGGGGGATTTATCGGGAGGTTAATATATCGATAGTGGAGGGGCCTAAGTGATTATGTGTATATCTTATAATTGATTAATGATATAAGTGTATTGTTATTATGGATTACCTTCGATCTAAAAGCCTGTGCTTGTAAGCTACTCACATCCCTCCTTAAGAAGACATGATATAGTATAGTATAGTATATATTACACATCTATGCCCGCTTCCAAAATCAAATTTACTAATAGATACATGTCGAATAATAGTAAACGCTGAACATTCAAATACTAGACTACAATACCCCAATACTCGACCTCAAAGCGTTTCACGAAGCTCCTCGACCTGCGAGACATCCTCCACAAAATTAGCGTCATACTCTCTCATAATCAGGATCCTCTCCTCCATATTCATCGCGAAACTGATTCTCATAAAATCCCTTGGCATTTCCTTGGCATTCGCAAACCTCAACACCCACACGCCTACACCATCCGCCGGCCACCCAAACACCACCACTTTCTTCTCTTCCTCCGTCATCTCTCTCACCCCTAGAACCACCTCAAGCTCATCCTCCCTACTCGGCCACCACGTCGCCCCAGTCCGGCGCAAGAGCTTACAGAACCTGTCCTCCTCATCGACACTGGATGCGCGCTGCATGGCCTGAAAGCGCGGGAGCGAGAGGAAAAGCAGGTCAACCAGGTCAGCGTTTTTAATGAGGACGCCACCGGTGGAGGGGTACCCATAGACACGGCATCCTCCGGGGCTGAAGACCGTCCGTTCCGTTGTCGAGAGAGGGGGGTCCACGGGGCACGAGCAGGCGGAGTCGTCCTGCTCCACGCCGTCGAGCGCTGGGGGTCGTCGGCCCATGAGCGGGAGGCGGTCCACGTTGATGGGGAGGACGCGGCCGATGGTTTGGGCGCAGAGGTAGGAGAGGAAGCTGGACATGTTGCTTGACTGAATTTGGGTTTGATAAGGCCAGCGGGTGAATCCTCTTCTAGATATAACTCATATAGACCAGATAATATAATCTTTACACCGCTTTCTGACATCCAATACACAGCTGTTGTGTCTTGTTTATCTTTATGAATAGATAGGCAGAAGCAAGTGATAATCGGCCCCGATCTGCCTGAGGCAGGCGCCCCACCACCGAGAGAGTCAGTCCGGTCCACAATCTCCGAGTCATAATGGTGCCTGAGGCATTAACCCCAGTCTATATAGAAGTCCAGGTGTGATTGGGCATGGATACAGAGATACTGATTTGGCAAAAAGTGTCTACTACAGATCAGATCCTTTGCAAATCTTACATTTATCTCTTATCATGGGGCCTCGAGTATCATCTGATTCACACCGAGGCGAGAAGGGAGGGAAAGGCTGGCGCTTCTGGGTATCTACTTCCTAACATCATCTTTGACATAGAATATATACTAACACATAGGGGAACTACTATAAACCATCTTCATTGCATTATCCATAACAGCCATTCTCTCCGCCCTCGACACCTCGGTCATTTCTACCGCCATGCCTACCATCGTGCACGACCTCGACTCCAGCTCCGCTTACGTATGGATCGCGAACGCATACTTCCTCACTAGCACTGCGTTTCAGCCGCTCTATGGCCAGTCGGCTAATATATTTGGCCGACGCAGTCTAATTATTCTCTCTGTTGTTCTCTTCGCCATCGGTTTTGCTGTCTCTGGCTCGGCCAGATCTACAAATGTCCTGATCGTCGGACGTACGATCCAGGGCGTAGGCGGCGGGGGCATCAACGTGCGAAGAGAGTCCAAGACCGAAATGCACAACGCGTTGGCGAGCAGCGCGTTGTGTATTTCGGTCTTGGACTCTCTTCTTTTCGCGTTTTGAGATAGCCTGCGACATTGTGTTGGTGCAGTTTGCTGGAAAGAATGAGAAGCAGCATGACTGTTCTGCTGTCGCCTGTTTTGGCGGGACACGTGCTGACTGCTTAGTGAGCCGCTAGGAAGTGAATCCTTCCACTTAGTGTAGCTGTTTGAACAGGGTGTGATATTCATTTGTTAAAGACTTTCTATGCATACATTATTATAACGCTCTCTCATGTCCCCCTCTCTTATCCGTCCACTGAAGAAATGAATGGGGTACCTCAAAGAGATCTGGGATAAGCTCTGGAACTATAGCATCATCGATGGTGGCTCGCACGGTACACTCTCCGTCCAAGATGTGCTCAATATTCCCCAGTGTACTGTACATGACCCCAGAAGAATGAGACATCGGGCTATTAACGACTTGTTGGTCGTTTTCCGAAGAATATTCCTTTCTGCCGCCTTTCCATCTCCCAACTAGCGACGGGTATGACGAGTAGCACTCCATTGAGCCATTGTGACAGAGTTCGCTAAGAAGGTCTGGGAAATCCATATTGTCATCGTCTGTGAGCCGTGTCAAAGCAGCGAGGATCTTCTGGGACGCCCTGTAGGAAATCGCGTACGCTGCACTACATGCCGCCTTTTCTATCATGCATGCCATCCGGACATTGTTCCCAGTTCCAGCTGGGGGATCATACGAATAAGGCGGGAGGTAGCGAGATGGCATCGCCGTTATGTCGTGAGGCATCACCTGTATAGGGGAAGAGCCGTTGCATTTCATACCACAGTGACCGATCCAAAGGACGTCCCAGCTGTCTCCGTACGGAGAATCTGTAGTCGCATTCCTTTCCGGGGCGTTGATCTTTGGTATTGATTGAGAGCCTAGGGCAAGTCCTTTTAATTGCATTTTGATATTAATATCCCAGTCAACGTCGTCCTCAAGTATCAGTGCACTTGCGATCCCATCTGCGACGATTCTATATAGATTTCATTAGATGATGTGAACGAACAAAATGTGAGACGGGTCGCTACCTCTGTACAGCATTCGCATGTGGGCGGGAAGCAGTAAAGGCTTCAATGCTCTTTGATCCGTTCAAATCCTACCACAAAGAGTAAGCAGACAACCATTGTGAGTCCCAGTCAGCTCGACGAACCTTGGCGCTGTCTTCCTCGAGGACAAACCCGTCGAAGAAGTCGACGTGAAATCCTGTAGCAGAGGATGCAAGTACAATCGCATCGCGTCTGTCTAAGCGTTGTACCGGGCTAATCGCAAATATTTTCTCAAACTATAATATGTCAATATTTTGGGTGAAAGGTCAGCGAGGTGATGGAGTAGCATACACCGAGTGTGTTGTTTGCGATCGCGTCGAAGGGGTCCCGGATCTCGTCGGGCTTAACATTTCGGCCGTGTCCAATGTTCCCATGAAAGAACAAAGACCAGAGTAAAGCTAGGATGACGAGAAATAAGATGGCCAAGTTTGAAGATCGACGGCGTGTTCCAGGAACCAACCTGACCGGAGACCCGGGAGTGATCATAGCAGCCATGTTCATTAACGGGATGATCAGAAATGCGAGCGCAGACCCCGCCTTTTTTAAGACCCCAATGATTACCTTTCAGATCTCCACTCTTTCTTTGACTGATGCGATGCATTGTGACCAAACAGCGTGACAGGCAGGTCAGCGTCCAGTTAAATGCTTTGTTTAGACGCCGTAGTTGCGGGACTTAACCTGAACTAGCAATCAGCTTAGAGACCGGCCACTTTACCCGCATTAGAGCATGGTCGGAACACCAATCAGCACTTTTCCTAAGCTGTAATCATACACAGGTACGATATTATGTCCATTCCATGTGTGGTGTCTGAATAATATGGCTTCAAGTTTAAAAATCCCGACAATCTATCATGGATACATTCGGTCGCAGTTCATGTGCCGATCGGCCTCTCAATTAGGAGGCACAAGAGGTTGTAGCTTGATTAAGTTTTGAGCAGTTGCAACAATCGGGCTTGTCCTCACTGTCTTGGTCCATCTTCCGCAAGCCATTGTTTCTTCCCCGAGTCTCCTAACTGACGGGTCTAGAGCAGTTACCGAAGATAGCACGCTAGGCATAGAACCGATGAGAGATACGTAGCATTACTCAGGCTTTCTCAGGCGTTGTTATTGATGACGTTGACAGAGTTGAAGCAGATGCATACGGCGGCGGGCTATCTGCCTCCGCAACGTGCCCTTCGAAGCTTTGGATAGCGTTTGCTGGTTCTCGAGAGTTTGCCAATAGCTCCACAGGAAGATCAGGAATATCAAAGGTACTTGTTTTCCCCGCACATTCAAATGAAAATGACGCGCACAACCGATACGTCCTGCTGATGTTGAATGTGCGGAAAGATACATCCGTATGCCTGATTCTAAGAGGCCCAAAAGCCTGTGCTAAGTCCACTTTACCCATGACTGGCATACCGAGCGACGTCCGTGATAGTATCTCAATCCGCTCGTCAACTTGGCCCGATAATGTTCCCATTAGAGACGGAGCGGCCCGAGCGGCAGTTTGACTGACCATGGAGATGGACAAAGATTGCATCACAATGTCGGGAGGTGATGTAACGGAAGAGTCCTCCATAAATGGCGTAATATCTAAAAAGCATGGAATTGGTGCGGATTGTACCAGGCGTGTGGGATAGGAAAAAGACGCTTTGAAGCTGAACCGAGGCAGTTGACCAGGTGAAAGCCATGACTGGACCTTCTCCTGCACCTTTAAGCTTCTTCCCCTGTTTTCTGGGAGTAGAAGCATGCTTCGAATATTAAACAGCTGCTCCTTCTGTTGCTGATATGTCGTGGGGTAGTCATCTGTGCTCTTCAATTCCAATCTAGCTTCAAGCGGTAAAAAGTTCAATCGTATGACCTCAGAGAACAATGGTGACTTTCTCCCTAAAATCCCTCGCTGTGGTCTAAACACTTGGGCGTGAATTCGGTATTCGATGGTGCACTCCAGCTTCCGTAAAGAATCATGAGTTTGCGTTGCAAAGGTTGGTGGCAAGGGATGATTTGCGTCGCTGCGGAAAGGCAAAGTTTCTGGCCATCTTGAGGACGCGGATTGGACATGTGATGGAAAGACAAACTCAAACGGCCATTCATAGGTATCAGGGGCAACTGTATCGCCATTGGGGTGCCATAAAATCCTCTCCTTTTCGAAAAGCATACACTTGCTTCGATAGCTGGCGGCAGGGGCTGCGGATCCCTTGGTCTTCTGCACCTTCGCCTTTGCGCGCCCGGAGAATGTCACTCGAATGTCCTGAATCTCCGTTGGGGTGGAACATTGAAAGACAATGCGACCTCTGATTCGGTCATTTCCAGCGTAGCATTGCTGCTGGTTGATCAACGACACGGTGATAGGCATTGTGAGGAATAGCACACAACCCAGACTTGGGTGGCTTTAGTGACAAAGGAGTTGCTGGGAAGTGATCGCAGAAAAGAGAAGTGCAGGAGGAGCGGGATGGTACACCTTTGTACCATTGTGTAGTGGCTTGTCCCACATTTTTTTCCATCTGAAAGCATTGCCCAGGATATTAATAGGATTTGAGTGTCAAAGCTTTATTCAGACCCATTGATAGTCGATGATGTCTGTGACAGTGGGGGACGCCCGTAGTCATTGGCGAATGAGGCGCACCATGAAAACGAATACGCGGAGACTTCCTGATCCGGAAGGGGTGGCGTCCCACTTGCTCTCCACTCAACCATTCTAAATCAGTACAACATCCTCGGTTCCACTACCCATGTCTGCTTAAAATGAGATATTTGGAGCTCTAGTTACTTTTTATGTACTAGATGAACCTAAAAGATACTGACCTTCCTCATGCGATTTAAACTATGGCATCCCATAGTCATCTATTCAGATAGCCTACCCACTGCTAGCAAGCAAGATAACACGCTTTCAATGAATTCTCCAAACAACACAATCCCGACCTTGCCTCTACCTGCGTAAACGCACGGGAAGTACCTCTACAAACATTGATCCACGATATCTACTTCTTTATTAAACAAATGTCCTCTACCGCCTCCTGCAGCCCCTTGGTGATTTGTGTCTCGATCGAACAGATAGTTACTAGCTGGCGATCCTGGTGTTCAGATATCAGGATCATGCAGATAATACTGCTTTTACGCCTTTCAAAGGCCTCAATCTTTACAAAGGAGCAGGTAAGCAGACAAGTGTGGCAGCTAGAGGTCTAGATTAGAAACATGTCAGCTATGCTTGATCGTACAAAACAGGTGGAGTAGTAGATTACCGCTATCTTAGTAGAGAGGTACTGGAATCGAGGATGTTGCCGTGGGGGCCCGGGGGAGGGGTTTGTAAGCGCTTTATCCACTTGGTTTTCAAAGATGAATGGATGTCTTGTACTAATTCTACTACAGGTCAACCTAACATGATACTCAATTGGTTAGTTCCATTTCTACCCAGGGACCCGTAAATCTGTATAGTATGTATAGCATATCTGTGGACCAAAGGAAAGCGATCGTTGGTTGCTTGGATGCGAGGCTCATTCCTTGGCGCGTAATTTGCTATCTAACCCACAATGATCCTTCCAGGTTCCTGGCAAAAGAAAAGGCACAAAGTAAGATCTGCGCACAGGCCAGGGTTCTTGCTCCTTGTGTATGAAGTGCTCCACAGGAAGATCCGGTAGTACGCATGCAAGATATACCTCCTAGTACCAACACACCACAACCAGTATTCGTCACATCGAAAATTCTACAGAATCCTGAGGTTTCCTTTTCAAGAGATATGAATCATATAACAAAGTGTTGTGGAATCATTGTTTATGTGAATCCCCGGTATCTTGCGAGACTAAGACCTCTTTATTCATCACATAAATATATAGTCTGTGTTGTACCTCCGCCTACATAAATGGTTCAGGCATCTTTCCCATCTCCCTTACCGCTGGATGCCTAGATTCTCAGTCAAATCATCGAGAGGGAGTAACGTGATCTACTAGTCTGTTAGCCTATCCCCTTCGAGTGGCTTACAGCCACAGGAACATCAAACAGCCTTATCAACTACATAAGTACTGACCACAATTATATCTACAGATAACTTTTGACAAATTTTCAAGCAAGCGCTGAAATTACTGGAACCATCAACTGCCTCCAACCTCATCAACAATAAAAACCTTCATTCCACCACCGTGATCGCTGTTGCTTTTCTATTCTTGATGTGTCCCTGACTGCCCCGCCTTATTTCCACCACCGAGCCTTGCACGGAAAACTGACCCGTTGCATTTCCTCACTTTGCGCCATTACGTCCCCCCTTCTGTCACATTTCTTTCTCGGCTTCCCAGTTAAACTTGACGAATAGACTTGTTCTATCCTCAGCAATCAGCATGCCTTGGAAAGCCTTCCGCAAGGACCTTTCCGATGCGTGCCTCCGAGCGAGGTCTCCCCATCTGAGCCACCTCAGGCTCGGTGACGAAGACAGTACCATTGCCTTTACCTACAGCTTTCAGTCCTGCATGAACATTGAATTTATTGTCTCCATTCTCGGTATGTGAGCACCTTAATGATGTGGTCTTAGTCTTTCTACTAACGACGTGATAGATGCCACTGAATACCCCGATGATCACAGTTATTTTGCGTTCGCTGTCACGGACAATATCCCCCCCGCCGTGTCCTCCCTTCTGGAGACAGTACAAACCAAGTTCAATGGTTGCTCTTTGGAAATATTTCTAGAAGGCTTTTGTGATTCTCTTGACCAGGCTGCCCTTGGGAAAGAACCGTGTGCGAGTTCCCCAGTAGATGACGACTTCGACGCCATCTCAGAAGATGAAGATATGGCCTGGGATGAGTACTCTGATGCCCCACGGATGGACCATTCCGTGGATATGAAGCAACTGCGGACTGATCTTCGAGCAGCTAAAAGCGCAGGCTTCAAAGTCGGCTATCTTGGTGACCTGGAGGGCTCCTTCATTGTGTCTGTTTCCTGCCGCATTGCTAGCCTAGGCATTTCACAAGACGCTATGCAAATGTGGAATGTCTGCCCCAAGCATTTTATAGTGCTGCTTCTTCATTATCCATGGGGTTACCGGAGTCTAGACCACATTGTATCCCAGTCACAGACAGCTCCTTCGCCAGTCAAGATGTATGTCGGTCTTTGCGACAGGTACAAGCCCACGACAATGTCTATCCCAGAGACCCACCAGGAGATCTCGAGCCCCGGTGTATCAAGCTCGATGCCCAAGTCGGCTTTGATATCTTCGTTCATTACTGACCCGTTAGAGACCCTTCTCAATGATCGGTTCGTTAGTATTGTACAAGATCGACTCAGACACGGGTTCTCATGGACAGGCGCAGAATTATTCTACAATGACTCTCAGGGTAAGAAGCTAGATCCCGAGGATGCCAAGCTTCCCAAATACTTTGTTCCGGAGAAATGGGCCAAGTTCACACCCGGCTTCGTCAAAGCAGATGATCTGCCACAGCACACGGCACATCAGCTATCTCTTCCTCTCATTGCCATGCAATATAGCCTGCGCCGTTTTGTCAAGTGCACGGAATTCTGTCTGAACTGCCATTGCAAAATAGACACCGGTTTTGAGGCCCTGAAGCCATATGTTTGTTCCAGTCCGTTATGTCTATATCGATATATGCAGCTCGGGATGGGTCCCAAGCTGGAATGGGAGATAGTCACACAGCCGTATGTCGTCGACATGCTCGTTAGCTTTGCTTATGCTCGGGCTGCGCAGGGGCAACTGACTGATCTTCCCTCTGGACTTGGCATGAAGGTTTCTTTTGGCGCCTCTCCTGGATCGAGTCCGCCATCATGCACTGCGAGACTGGATCCTGCCAATATGACACTGATGGCCCGAGGGCCTCATAATCTCAAAGTTGGTGAATGGATTCTACTGAAGCCAGGCAATGTGTCTGATTCTTCATCGTACTTTCCATCGCTCTGCAGTACTGTGCTCCAAGTGCATGACCAGTCGCTTGTCGAGATTTCGCAGCCTATCTCTGTAGGTTATCTGGCCGGCCAACAAGACTCGCCTCCAGTAGGGCAAGACGTGCAAATTGTGCCATTTCATTTTGAATTTGATAGCTTGAGTAATGAGCTGAAACAGAAAGCAGTCATGCTACTCCTCGACACACTACCTGATGTCTTCTCCATGAAAAAGTTCATCGAGAGCAGTACGCCTGAACACAGACCCCTCGCCTCATGGCATGATCAAGTTTGCCCATCAGCTCTATATGCACTACGGTGGATTCTTGCTTCAAATAGATCATGCATCGTATACGATGATGACCCTGAACACCAGGTGACAGGGATGCACAACTACATGCAGTTCAGGCTAGCGCAAGGCTCTCCAGACAAAGAAGCTCGGTTTGTCCAGGAACTCAACAACAGCTCAAGCAAGGAGTTCCCCACGCTTTTCGCTTGGCACGGAAGTCCACTTTATAATTGGCACAGCATATTGAGAGAAGGTCTAAACTTTGATCGACTGTTGAATGGCCGTGCTTATGGAGATGGTGTTTATATGGCGAGCGATCTTCACACTTCTCTCGCATACTGCTGTCGTGGTGGTATTTCTGGAGGCAAGTGGTCAAGAAGCCAGTTAGACATCACTTCTGCTATCTCGCTAAATGAAGTTGTCAATTCACCGGGAAAGTTTCGGAATAAAAACCCATATGTGGTCCCTCAACTAGACTGGATTCAGTCGCGGTACCTGTTTATCTCAGGCGATGGTTTCAAAGCTCGGGGAGAAAACAAGAGCAAACCCTCCAGGGTTTACGAACAGGACCCGGCTTGGACGGCGCGCGGCCCAGATTTTCAGCCTGTTTCCATTCCTATATCGGCCCTTGGCACTCGACAGGGCCAGAGCCACAAGAACAAAAATGAAGCCGATGGACAAGCCACAGATAATAGACAAAAGAAAAGGAAATCATCTGCAAAAGGGCTGTCTGGTCTGTCTGAGAGCTCATCGACAACTGGTTCCAACGAGGATACGGAGATTGAGGATCTTCGCTTACTTGATTCGGATTCGGATGACGATGTCATCGGAAAATCAAGACGCATTGATGCATCAAAGTCCAATCATAATCTGAGACACGGGTCCAAAACCGACTTCCAGCCCGGAACTTTGCAAGCTCATTCCTTCAAGCTCCTTGGACCGCCGAGCTACGCGACCACAGCCGCAACCAAGTCACTACAGCGTCATCTTAAGACAACATTGCGCATTCAGGACCGAGAGCCCCTACATGAGATCGGCTGGTATGTCGACCCCACACTTATCAACAACGTCTATCAATGGATCGTCGAGTTCCACAGCTTCGATCCCTCTCTTCCTTTGGCACAGGATCTCAAGCAAAAAGGTCTCAAGAGCGTCGTTATGGAAATACGCTTTCCGCCGCAGTTTCCAATGTCTCCGCCTTTTGTCCGTGTCGTTCGACCCCGATTTATCTCTTTCCAACAACGCGGTGGTGGCCATGTAACCGCTGGTGGCGCCATGTGCATGGAGCTGCTCACAAGCTCAGGCTGGCTTCCTACGAGCTCCATAGACAGTGTATTTCTGCAGGTGCGTATGGCCCTTTGTTCAACAGAGCCATGGCCTGCACGCATTGAACGAGATGGCGAATATCCGTTTAGTGATGCTGTGAGTGCCTACAGGCGAGCTTGTCAAGCACATGGATGGAAGATCCCAGATGACTTCAATCGCATCGAGGCGTCATGATTTTATTTGTTGACTATGGTTTTTAAAAGAATGGTATGTCAGTGTGTGACTATACCTAATGCTGCAACATTCTGCGCCAAGTTTCATTGTTTTGAAGCGTTCATCGCGGTGTCACAATAATCTGAAATCGTTTAGTTATCCCAAAAAAAAAAAAAAAGAAAAAAGAAAAAAAGAAAAAAGAAAAAAGAAAAAATTGAAGACTACAGAAATTGTAAACCATCAAGGGGTCTAATCGTTTCCTCCGGTAATTGATGTAGATGGTTCAGGGAATATTCTCTATATTCTTATACTAGCTTCGCTCAAGGGAGAACCAGTCGGTCTCCATGCCCATCCCTCCCATGAGGCCCAGATCTCATGTAGGCGCGCATATAATAAAGCAATTAATTTTTGCATCATTTGTTAGAATTTCATTATAGTCACAACCTTACGCAAATCCCTGGCAGATTTATACCGAGATCGATGATTGCAAAAGACCAGCCTTCCTCAGCGCCGGAATAGCCTTGTCAGCCACCCATTCAGTGCACTTCACCAACGGCCGTCTTTCCTCACCGTCCTCATAAAACTCTAACGGAAATAGCCTCTTGAACGGCTCAGTCTTCATTCGTTTGATATTAAACGCCTTTTGTTGTGGGGGAGCTGGCAGCTCTCGTAGAACTGTGTCCCACGAGTCGGGATAGTTTGCTGCATTCGTCATACCAAGCAGTGTTCGAGAAAAGAAGTTTTCGTCGGACTCTGGTCGAGGAACGAGATTAGTTTCGTAGTGCATCCCTTCTGGTGAGGTGATGTCTCCTGTCACTTCATGGATGATTCCGGAGCCAGTCACTGGGTCTGTTTCAACGAAGATTGCGGTGTGGTAACGTGGAGAAGGAAGGTCGGGGTCTGGGATTGCCAAATGGGTTCTGATTATGTAGACGCGGTAGTGAGCCATGTCAGATTTATGGTTTCTGATATGGTAGTAGCAGAGGGGAATATTGTAAGGCGGGGGTGTGAGGTAGGGAAGTCGGTAAGGAGGGAACTCGATTACAAGTCATGTGTCGTTGGCGGCTACGGCTTTTGGCTGCCTGGTGTGTCTGCCTTCATCCTACATCGCTTTACTCCCACTCACTCTCACACTTTACACTCTATCCATCTACTTCAGTAAATTCTATGGCACGGGTACACCGGAGACATGGGTACATGGAGAGAATTGCCTCACAGCAACGGCATAGCTCAGCACGTATCACGATGACCACACCACAGATTTGCACTGCGCAATTCACTACGCGCACAAAGGTAGCCCCAACCCTAGATGCAAAACTGCAGAAGCGATATAGCAAACAGACGTCACCGCCTTCAGACTGGTGATTCTGCCTGAATATTGTTTATGTGTTGTTCGAAGAGAGTGAATAGAGATGGCTAGGAGAAGAATCTTCTCTCTACTGATCTCTCACTCTTCTTTCCTATCTCCATCCTCATTTCCATCCAAACGGCATCTTGAACCATCGGTTCTCAAGCATCATGTCGAGCGAACTGGATACTCAAGTCTCTTACGACACGGATATCAGAGTCTCATTGCCCTTTCTGCAGGCAGCACGTCAGAGGAACTATGACTATCTGACTTCGCTGCTCGCTGAGGGTCATCATCCCAATAAACGCGACGAGAATGGCTACATGGCTTTGCATCGGGCCATAATAGAAGCACCTGAAGACCTTACTACTGTGGCAATGCTGCTGACGTACGGGGCAAGTCCACATGCCTTCTTCAGGCCTGGGAACAGCTCGCTAGAGATCACGCCCTTACACTACGCTGCCATGAGGGGTGATGTTGGACTCGTATCTCTCTTCCTCCATCATGGAAAGAATGACGTGACACCTCGAACACTCAAATATTGGACTACTCCGCTTGAGAATGCCATCAGTTACGGTCGTCTATCGGTTGTGGCGAGGTTCATTGAGTTCTTCTCCAGCAGTCAGCTTCTGCACAAACCGACCCGTGGGATTGATGAATCAATCATCTTAGCCGCCAAGCTCTGGTACTCAAAGGCGTTGACATTGCTCCTGGACTACAGAAAGCACCACATGTATCCCAATCCCAACGGGTTCGATGTACTCAAGCATGCCTTCTGCGAAGCAATCCGGCCTGAAGCTTGCACGTCCAGCGCCCAAGGCATTACTGAACGATCTGGATGTCCCGGAGACAACACTCCTTCCAAGTGCGCTCATCTTCTCATCCAGGCCGGGATCCGCTTCAGGGATGATGAAATGGACAGATTGCTCAGTATAACCTGCAGCAATGCCCACTTTATCGGTGTCACCCGTCTACTTCTGAACATGGGTCCCAAGGTGACCGGCGATCACATTACCCGCGCTATCGAGAGCCAGAGTTACCACATGGTGAAAATAGTGACCAAATATGTCATCACCAGTGGCGGAGAAGCCGCTATGAGGCGTGATAGCGAGCCAGACTTCATCCAGTATGCTGCTGGTCACGGCAGTTTGGACACCTTTGAATACCTTTCCACGGAACTCAGTACAACCTCATCCCAGAGCGCATCGATGCCAACGACCGAGAGTCGCAAGACCCCCATCATCCACTACGCCGTGTGGGGCCTCCGCCTCGATGTGGTCCAGCACCTTCTTTCGACTCGAGGCTCGAGCGCCAACGAGAAAGACGAATATGGCCACTCACCATTGATGTACGCTTTCGATATCGCCGACCCAAGCGACGAGAACACACGCCTGGCCATCATTCAGCTCCTCATGCAGCACGGGGTCGATATCAAGGCCAGCTCAGTCGAAGGACTGACTGCTCTCCATCTCGCCGTCAGATTAGGTGTTACACCCGCCGTCCAGCTCCTTCTCGAAAAGGGCAGTAACCCCAACGCGAAAACCGCCACCGGCAGCGATCTATATCTCAGACGCAACCCGTCCTTCTGGAGCCCCGAGACTAACGCGCGCCTCCGAACCCCATTGCACTGGGCCGTCGATCGCCTGGCTAATGTTTCCGTGGACACCGTGAGACTTTTGCTTCATTATGGTGCGGATATGAACGCTCAGGACGGGAATGGTGTCACGCCTTTGAACCTTCTCCTCGGCGACGGATGGTGTATTAATGGAGCTTGGAATGCTCGTATGGAAGTCGCAAATCTCTTGCTGGCCTGTGGTGCAGACGTTGATATCAGAGATATGAGCGGCATCTCGGCACGTCAGAGAGTCGATCAGCGTGATGCGGAGTTGCATGCCTCTGCTGCTCAGATGTCTTGAAGGCTGGGTACCTTAGTCCTTGAAATAAGGTTTCTCTGGTTTACTAATTTTGAATCATGATTTACTGCTTGATCTTTGATCTTGTCATACATGAGGGGTTCGTTTTACATATTGTCTTTGACTTGACTTTGCCGTTTTTTCTCTCATTTGCCATGATTTATTCCCTGATCTTTCAATCTCACCTTACCGAATTTGTTTAACATCTTGCCTTTAGCTTTACTTTGCCTGGTTACTTCGATTTACATGATTTGTTGCTTGATCTTTTGCAGATCTGGCTATGTGAGAAAAGTTGGTTGTACATCTTGCCTATGGCTTGAATTTGCCTGTCTTCTTCATTTTACTCTAAGATTTGTCGCTTGGTGTTTACGAAGATGATGACATATTGACATGTTGGTGAAGTGAATTTTACATCAGAAGAAAGTTTGTGGATATGCTGCCATGTTCTCAAGCTTGCTTTCTTGTTTCTTGTTATCCCTGGTATGAGACTCGGGTTTTGTGTTACTTCTGTGCTTTGCTGCAGGGATTTGTTGTTGAGTTGGGATAGGAAGTGTGTTGGGTGAGGTAATGGTGGGATGGAATTTTTTCTTTTTGTCCTCGAATGGAAAAAGAACAAAAAAAGAGGACAAAACGGAAGGAAGAAAAGAGAAAAGCCAAAAAAAAGGTTGAAAAAATACTAAAAGAAGAAAAAAGAAGGAAAAAGGAAACAACAAAAAGAGGGGATGATGGGACGTGTAATATCACGATAATACTCTAATGTTTCTAATGTTTCTAATGCTTTACGATAGTGATGATTGTATGAAATAAATGCCACTGAAATTAAATTGAAAGTATCCAAGTAATTACGAGATCAGCAAATCAGAGGTAGTAGAACAGTTAGGAGTAGTTGGCAACCAACACAAGCTATTGTCGTCTTGCATGACAAAGTCTGTATAGAAGAGAGCTTTGAATAGCTTCAAGTATATGAATTGTGGTATCTTAAGTGACATATTGCCCTTCTTTCCTCTCCTTTCGGAGCAATGGCCATCCATTGTGACCGTCATCGACGGATGCCAGATATGGTGGTCTGTAGTAGACACACTGAGTGGCCGTTTCAGCGAGGCTAGTGAACGGTCAACCATCGATCCAGAATCGGCCGATCCCCTCAATATGCATTATGCAAATGTCATCTCCGTTGGGAGGACGAGGACCTCATGGACCTATCTCAGCATGACCCTGCGTCCTATGGCTCCGAGTACTCGAATCCTTCGACCCTCGAAGTCCTGATCGCATCCGAAGAGCGTCGTGGCCGCCCTGAATGTTTCGCGACATGCTCCTAAGGCAGCCTGAGGTATAATCATAATCCCAATAAACCATCACTCATCCCCTTCAATCACTCCCAGCCTCTTCCTCACCACCACCGTCCGCTTCATCTTCAACATCCAACTCCGGCAACGTGAACTGCGTACTAGGCCCCGCCTCCGCCTGCTGAGTATTCGCAGCCGAGCGTCTAGCCCTCTGCGCAGCCGGATCAGACATGGTGATGGCGCGCTCACCAACAAACCTATCACCCGGCCAGGCACTCTTGCACACAGGACAACTCTCGGACTTTTGCATACGAAAGAAATTCCGCATGCAGTGGTCGTGCAAGCGTCCAGTACAATCGCGGTCGCCGCATCGTTGGCCCTATACACAAGCACAAAATCATCAGCCAATGACCCTCCAACCACAACTCACTTATAGAAGTTCGAACTCACCGCAGTAATAATATCCCGACACGCAGCGCAGAACTTAATCTTCCTAATCCCCTCATCATTATACGCCGCCACCAACCACCCCCTCAACTCCATCAACCCCCGCGGACTCAACCGATAATACCCCTTCCTGCTCTTCTCAAACCACCCCTGCTCAACAAGCTGCTTCAGCATCGTCTCCGCCTGCGTCATCGTCAACGACTGCGCTGCGCCTCCCTGCGTCGCTTGCTGCTGTTGAGTCCCAGACTCCCGTCTATTTGCGTCCCCTGCACCTGCCTTGGCTAGCTGCAACGCCTGCATACTACTTATGACCATTGCTTCCTGGCGGCGGGTGTTGTATGTGTCGAACATGGCGTCGAGGATGCGCTTCACGAAGGCGATTTCATCCGCGGAGTAGGTGGTCGCGAGCTGGGTGAGGGCGTCGCTGGTTGTGTTGACGAGGGCGTAGACCCGTTCGGGGGCTGGGGGAGGGGGTGCGTCGGGGTCATTGTTGTTGATTTCGATTTGGGGTAGTATGCTCCGGATTTCGAGGTCGAAGGGGGATATGGCGCTGTTGGCGGCTGCGATGTAGGTTTGGAGGTCGTCTTCTGTTATGTCTTCGGGTGAGACTTGTTCGTCGTCTAGATGTAGAGGGTTTGGAGGTTAGTGATTGATATGAGCATAGTTTGATGAATATCTTGGTGTAAGGTATATGGTGTAGGGAATACCTCTAACGGAGAATATCGCAGCCAGGACCGGCTTTGCTTCGGCAAAGGTCATGGTGGACCGCGCCATGAAGGCTTGGAGGAATGCGCGGTTGCTGTCATCGTAGCGCTCGTGGTCTTCTGCGTATCGGGGCATTTTTGGGTGTAGTTGGTTGGGGTATTTGGGGGAGGAGATCGTGGGTTTGGTGGTTATATGGTGAGGTTGTGCATTGCGGATTTCCTTGTCGATTGGAGGGGATTTCGTAGCTCTTTTATGCGGAGAGTATATGAATGGATGGACTGGACAAAGAAATTGGATATGACGGACGACGCGATGGACGCGCCGGCGGCCCCGCGTTTATTGGTTCTGGATGCCAAGACTGGAGGTTCTTTGTGGCATTTAATGTTTATGACTTTGAAGGTAGGTTCTAGCAGCGTTAATTACTTATTATAGATACAATTAATATGGAGTGTATTACCATATAGAAGAAGTCGGTTTCATTCCTAAACACAATCCAGAACCATATTGCGGATATCGCAAATGCAGTTGATATCATAGCGTAAAGAAACTAGAATAGAAATACAGCTGACAGATGATGGTCATTCTCCCCCAACGCCGCATATAGAACAACACAAAGGACATTCCAAACCACAGATCTTCCCCCCTAGTACCTCCTCCGGGTCGGCTCCGGACTAGGACTGCGGCTGACACTTCTCGCATCCCTGCCACGCTCCTTCAGCCACTTCTTCGTACTGAGACGAAGATCCCGGTCCAACTCATTGCTGGGGTCCTTCCGATGAATGAAATTACAGAATCCACCACGTACACACCCTTCGCCGCTATTTAACCGACAACACGCTTCTCGGAAATCCGTAACCGGTGATAATTCACAATATATAGGTCGTGCCGCGTACCATCGTGAATTCAAAGCGTCGCAAGCCGCCTGGGCATCTTCTTCGTACTTGAAACGCGCGTAGACATTTCCGATCAGGTCTGTCAAAGAGGAGATGTAATGTTAGCAAATATCTTACTACTATCCGGGGAAGGGATAATATGATGATTGGATGCGACTCACGATCATTGTTGTTATCGCAGACAACCAATTCCTCCAACTCGCCATACTTGCACATCTCGCACCACACATCCTCGTAGAAAGCATCAAAGTGGTTCTGTAGCTGACTGGGGTTCATCTTGCTCTTCGGGTCGTACGCGGGATTCTGGTACATGTTCGGCATCAGGATCGTCTGAGAGTATGACGGCTTGACGTGCTTCCGGGAGCAGCGGTCGCCATGTCTGCAAGCTCCGATTTTGTAGTAGAAGGAGCAGTTGACCTTGTCCTGCTCTGTACCGAAGATGGAGGCGAGATAGTTGGCCATGATGGATCGTGTTGCGCCGAGCTCGGTTCGCGGAGATGGACTACTGAACGGTGATGAGGAATGGTTGTAAGGAAAGATGTCGAGGAGCTAGAGAATATTAAGCGTATGCGAAGGCTGCAACAACGCAGAGCAAATATGTTAGCGCGACGTGGTTTCCCCAGCTCTTGATTGCAGATTCTGGAGAGCTTCGATCTCGTGGCGGCCGCGCTGACTAATCTCGGAGAAGCTTCTGGTGCCTGAGGCTTCCACATTCAGCATGTACATTACTCAGCTTTTTATTTGTGATTGACTTTGGGTTAAATTACTATTTGTTTATAGTTCACTAGTCACGGAAGTCTTAATTAATATTCTATTGAGGAAAGCTAACCACTCTGTGCGTTTGTGGATGCAAAGCTGACTACATACGCTCCAAGCCTCTACGGCTCACCCCCAGCCCGCTGATATCTACAGCAGGCTGAACTCCTTCCACCAAATCGGCAATGACCTTGCCAGTTCCAAGGGCAAGCGAGATTCCCCAAGGGCCATGACCCGAAGCAACAAACACTCCACCCTTCCTGCTTCCTGTTGTGGTCTTGATGCCCTCTCCTAACAAGCTGTCGTCAATTCTCCCCACAAAAGGTGTGCCACGATCTGAAGCAGGACGGAAACAAAGGCCTTCTCGGACTATCTCCAGGTCGTTGACATTCGGAATTTCATCGCTCGATTCCGTTCTCCCCTCTGCAAGTTTTCCAAGCAGGCGAACGGACGCTGCCTTCAGTCTATCCATCTCTTTCTGGTCCATCGACTTATGGGAGTCGTCCGCTCGTTCCGGAAGCGGGATTGTCTTGGTATTCAAACCCGCAATGTAGATTTCCCTTCCTTCCCTTGAGAACAATTCCGGGCTGAAGCCGCAGGATGGCGGCCATGTCGTGAACAACGCATGGGTCTCCCCATGATACTTGTCCTGCTCGTGTTCCAGAGTATGTCTAGGAGAATGGAGAACCAGAGAATATCCAGCGAGTGGATAGATGGGAAGTGCAACTTTGGAGAATGGGAACAGGTCACGGAAGACCTGCGGTGTCCACGGTCCAGCGCAGACAACCAGATTTGTACAGGGGATAGTAGATTCAGATTTGGTGTTTAAGTCCACGAGCCTGACGCCGGTGATGGTCCCAGCCTCGTTTTTGACCAGAGACGACGCTTTTGTTGGGTAGTGGAGCTTGACACCTCGTGACGTGCAGCTGTCCATGAGGAATCTGCATAACCTCAAGGGATCACTAATATTCATTAGCTTCTTTGCTTCATTGCGCGAGGTTCATTCAGCCTTACACTTGACCGGTGGTATTCTTATCACTGATTTGCTCTACCTTCGCCCCCTGCTGCCGTGTCACCCATTCTGGTACCTCGGGTTCCCCGTACTGACTTGTGCCTGCGGCTGTCTCTGCGCGACTTGTACCTGCACGAAGCCAATCGTCGCCACGAGCACCTCCTTGGTTGTTCACGGAGCCTAAGCTCAACGCCACACCTTTCATGTAACCCCATTTCTGCCTTCCTCCGTGCTCAGCAGCAAGGGACTCGTGTAGGTTGAATGACAGCTCTCCCAATGGCGCGAGAGAAGGTGCAAACCAATCCTTTGCTAGGAAGCCAGCAGCGTAGCCAGAGGCAGAGCAGAACAGCTCAGATGCCGATTCAACGACATGAATTTCTTCTTGCGGTTGGCTTTGAGAAAGATAGTAGGCAATTGAGGATCCAATGATACCTCCTCCAAGAATGACGGTAGGCATGTTGGAATGGAGCTATGACTTTTATGAGGGTTTTCGGGTAACAATTGCGCCCAAGTTATGCAACCACAACACGATTTTTTGATATAAACTTTGTGTCTCAACACTGTCAGGTAAGGTCAATGTCAAATTTATATAAAGTAGTAGTGGGAGTGGGTATCTCCAGAACTCCATGGCGGGGTAGATCCGGAACAGTCGATTCGATGAACAGAGTGGATCACGCCCTTCGAATGATGATTCCCGGATGAGGAACTGTGCACGCTGCCCGCTGCCATTTGCCCTTATCGAACCGGCACCCTTCCCGAGTCGACCGGGCCGGTTCACCTTGTATTAACAAGCATCAGGATGCATCATCTTGATAATGTATCTATCTTGAACTTCAGATAGAGCAAGCAAGTTTGCTCCCTTGCGTGATGTTGTTGCTTAGAGATAGCGTTCCGAACTCGGACGGCCTGCCGATTCCGGAGGGCAAGACGTTTCCGGGTCTTCGTCCCTCCCCTGAAAATTGATGGAAAATACATTCTCTAGAATGAGCAGATGCATATGTGATTACTCTAATACGCGATAATCAGTTACTTGTCATGAGAAGTAGGAGTTGAGACTACCCTCGTGTTGAGTGGCAGACCCATACGCCCTACTCAAGGTACCGGGAAATAGTATAGCTTCCCCACGGGCTTCATGATACAGTGGATTCTCTCCAGATTGTTTAGGCCCTTGGCATAAGTTCTGGAGTATTCTGGGACATTCTCTGTTTATGAAATGGCATTTACAATTGGAGATTGATTTCTGGACCCTGAAGAATATAGATGTGGTATATACAAGTCATTCCATTGTATGTCTGCGGCTGGATGGAGGTCATCAGAGGACTGACTAGCCACATATTCAGTATCAAAGTCGGTCGGTGGAATATAAATTCCACTTCTAACCAATAATAGAGACTGGCGTAAATGTTGACACTATACAATGTCCTACTATACCTTTCCACGGGCTCCACTCGACCATAGTCAATGTTTCCCGCGGAAAAGTCAACCTTTCAAAAGACAATTACTTTGAGAAACTTGTCAGAAGTGTGGGAATAGTGTGACTGGGGAAATATAGTGATCTTCGTATCTGAATCTAGAAAGTCTTTGGCAGTGGAATTGACTAGCGCCATACATAAAAAAGCGGATAAATTGCCGACAAAGACCCCACGTTCCCCCTCGTTTCATCAGCGCTAAAGCTCGCGAGATGTCACAACTCACAACTCTCCTTGTCATAGTAAGTAACATTCTATATCTCAGTCACATTGACACTGGAGGGGATACTTTTTCCATCAAGATGTCATTCTCTTGGATGGTACCACTACTGCCCAGCCGCTGCTCCATACTACAGAACGAAAACAGGCTTGCATAAGGTTGTGTCCCGCGGGAACCAGGGTAACCCTTCGATTACAGTACCTTCTCATCCAGCTATTCTTAGTATACTAGCATTCACATTGTGATTTATGTCTATCGTAGTCATCAACTAAGTCATTTTCATGGCCCCCTGTGCAACTCTCACAGTACCCTAATTTGTCGAAGGGATGCCCCCCAACTCCTTCAAGATTGTCGAATTAAAGTTATCCGAAGTATGTCTCTCAGGCAAACGGCTGCTCAGTATAACACAGTTCACCTGCTCTATGCAGCGAGTAGGTGGTAGGGCTTAGCGTCATGGGCTCTATCATCCAGGTGCTCTGTAGTTCTATCAGATGCCTGAAGAATAGGAACAAATTCGAGCCAGACCGCGTGCACTACCTCACACTTCCAACAGCTGGGTTTGTTGAAGTGATCAAATCGATGGATAGAGCAAGTCTGTCCTTCAGTGGTAATGGACGTGGAAGCGCAGTCAGAGGGTCAATTGCACGGGTGATATGGCGTATGGCTCCCGTAGTAAACCCTCCGTCGGCCCGTCCGTTCTTGGAAGGCAAGTGGCCCGTCCGATACGAGAGCATCCACCCCCACTCTCGTCATAGCATCCATTTATTCAGCCACTTGCTGTGCAACCAGATCAGTACCATCGTCACACAAGCCAAGCACAATGTCGAGCAAGACTATCATCGTTACCGGTGCCTCTCGAGGTATTATTGTCCAATCCATCCAATGTTTCAAACTCCAATTCATGCGCAACCTCAACCCCGCAGTCACTGACCACGCTCGCACACCCAGGAATCGGCCTCGCCATCGCGAAATACCTCCTCACCGCACCCCAATCCCACAATGTTGTCGTGATCGCTCGTAGTCGCGAACCCCTCGAGAAGCTCAAGGAGCAATACAGCAAGCAGGTCGAAGTGCTCAATGGAGACCTGGCCGATTTCTCCCTCGGTCAGAAGGCCGTGGACCTGGCTCTCAAGTCCTTCGGCCGTCTGGACGGCATGGTCCTCAACCACGGCATGCTTGGACAAGTAGGCAAGGTCAAGGATGCCGATTTTGCGCAATGGAAGCACGCGTTCGACGTAAACTTTATCAGTCTCACTGCTTTCGTAAGTGCGAGTTTTCACAATAATGGCGGATAGTGATCCATCAATGGACCTCGATAGCTAACGCATTGATATCTGTTACCTGCTTAGATCAAAGCCGGTCTTCCCGCCCTCCGTGAATCCAAGGGAAAAATCATCTTCACTTCGTCGGGTGCTGCCGTCACGGCTTATAGAGGATGGGCTCTTTACGGTGCGACCAAGGCCGCCATGAACCACCTCGCTTTGAGCTTGGGAGAGGAAGAACCCGAGGTCACTACGATTTCTATCCGGCCTGGTATGGTTGACACCGAGATGCAGCGGGAGCTGCGTGAGGACCACGCTACGACTCTGGAGCCGCAGATGCATGCCAAATTTACGACGGTCCACAAGGATGGCAAGCTCCTTAAGCCAGAGCAGCCCGGTCATGTTATGGCCAAGCTGGTGTTGGACGCTCCTAACGAGCTTACTGGGAAATTCTTCACGTAAGTTATTTGAAATCTCTTCATTTCAGGATAAAGCTAATGGCTAAACTAGGTGGAACGACAAGGCTCTCGAGGCGTTCCAGGAGTAGATTACAACTAGATGATTCTTATGAAGACAGTCAGTATATACCGTCACCAAGACTCAATATAGAACATATTGTGAAATAGAATACAAATCAGCCGAAAGATGAAAAGCAGGTTACATTTCGGAAGCATTAGGCGTGAACCTTCATACTTAGCATGGAATGTAATGTGATCATCATGTAAAAAAGTTGTGGACGCATAGAAAAAATTATCGCATACCTTACGGATATCGAAATGGGGTATTGTGTGGTCGTGATAAGCGATTTGCAGAGTCTGCACCTAGATTCTTTGAATAAGTCAGCAATGTACAATGCAATGACTGATTGGCAAATTCCGAATGTGAGGAAATATTTCAGTGGTCCGTTTGGCTTGGACAGTGTACGTCACCATAGATGGTATGATAGGGGCGACAACGATGTTCATCATGATAAATGAAGGCAAATAAGATAGAAAAGGTGAAATACATACCATTGGAGTTAGTTCCTTGAGAAATTTCAAGAATTGAGCAAGCAAAACAAGAAAAGTGAAGCCATTTTTCATTTTCTGTTGTGCGAAGAGCACTGCATGAGTGAAGAAATCATGAACCGAAAAAAAGCTGTGAACCGAGATTAAAAACCCCAGAGGCGGTATGTTTCTGCCGGGCGGTTCTTCCGTTCCGTGACGAGTCCCTCCGCGCCGGGATTTAATCGCAGCTATTTATACCAACCAGTTGCTCCCCGCGCACCGTCACAATACATACTTTCCAATCTGGAGCCAACTTTCACCACTGTGCAGAACGCGCGTTTCGCCTAGTTCCTTCCTTGTCGCCCATCATGTCAGATCGCGAATTTAGTGGTAAGTTTTATTCCAGATTACTTCCTCGCGCAAATTCAAGGTATCGAGCTAACTCGCGCTTTTCCTACTAGCCAACGACGACTTGTCGCTACCTAAAGGTATGTCGCCTTCCTCCGTGTTGTCGCGTCGCATCAACTCCCCCACGTTTGAGGTCGTCGGGGCCCGTCGCCCTTCGCTTTGCTTTTCTCGAATATTGTACAAAGCATAATCAAATATACATCATATACTAAATCGCAAACTATACAGCGACGGTTCAGAAGATTATCACCGAGATCCTACCTCCCTCATCCGGCCAGACTTTCTCCAAAGATGCCCGCGATCTCCTCATGGAATGCTGCGTCGAATTCATCACCTTGATCTCCTCCGAGGCCAACGACATCAGCGAAAAGGAAGCCAAGAAGACTATCGCCTGCGAACATGTCGAGCGCGCCCTCCGTGATCTCGGTTTCAGCGACTACATTCCCGACGTCCTTGCTGTCGCGGAGGAACATAAAGAGCAACTGAAGGTATGTGGCTGGCCCCTTTCCCATTTTGTGGTATTGTCCCGCTGACATAGATCGATTACACTAGTCGCGAGAGAAGAAGCAGAGCAAGATGGAGCAAAGCGGGTTGTCCGAGGAGGAGCTTCTACGGCAACAACAGGAACTGTTCCGCTCAGCTACCGAGAAGTATCATGCTGCTCCGGAGTAAAGATTACGAGTTCTGGATATCCGGAAAGGCAAAAAGTAATGCGGTTAGTCTCATGCTGGTCATAGAGGGTCTGGTTTCGGAGTTCTTGAGACGTTTTCCTACGACGGGGGCTTGGAGTTTGGGTGGTTATGGTATTTCACGCTTTATATGATTTGTGGGAAGGGGGCTTGTTTATCTGTTTTCATACTATTTTCTATCTTCTCTCGGCTGGGGCAGTCTATCGAATACCTTATACTATTTATTGATGTGCATGGCGGTACACGGATGCCTTGGGCAGGAGGATATGTTTCATTAGTAGTGCTTATACCCATGGTAGTGACTATGGTCGATTTCCGGGAAATACCAAATAGCAAGGACTACCATAGTGTCTGAATACCTTGCTTGGTAGCATTGTGGCTCGCTAGGCGTTGGTCGAGGCTATCCTGACCTAGTACCACTTACATTCTAATTTAATGGCTTCCTACCATACTGACTGCTATCGTTTGTTTGGAACCCTACATGTGGTATTATTATCGGCATAATATGTCCATCTGGTCACTTTTGTATTCTCGGGTACTTCTTAGTAGTATATACTAGTAACCCCGATTCACAGCGAATTGAGACTCCTCTCAACTTAGTACGTACCACATTCGGCCAAACTATGGACTTCACCACTAACACTGCACCGTATAATTATGACATTGACCTACCTACGGTTCTTATAATTATATTCTAAAAAAACAAGAAGCATACCAACTAGCTAACACCAGCAAAATAGAAAAACAAAAACATACAACAGAAGGGATTCGCTGGTGGTCACCCACCCAACTACTAACCTCCCGGCGTGTGGCTTAAGTACGGCTGAGCGGACGGGAAGCCCTGTTTTCCACACCCTATGGTCGTATGTACCAGACATCCTAATGCAATGGATTATATGGGACTCTAGCATATGTTGGCTTCTACAAAGGTGCCTTCTCGTTCGTGGGTTGGAAACCACGACAAATTCCATAAGAGACGTTGGGGGTCCTATGGGGCGAGTTGGTGTTAGTGAATGACATGGGGTGTATATAAAAATTATTTATGTGATTAGAGAGCTATTATTCATCCATTGCTTGTCTATATGCTAGTAGTAAAATTACTGTGATTCATCGTCGGTATCATGTACTCCTTATATATTAACGGGTAGGGCTCTTATTCGTTGGTGACTATTATGCTAGTACATTGAAACTGGGTAAGAATCCCCCACCTATAAGTAAAGGAAAAGCACAAGCAAGTGAAGATACCAGTAATGACCCAATTGTCTGCTCACATTAGAGATATAAATGAAAGAGGGTAGTTGAGCTGCGGCGGTTTCAGGCTGTCCTAGGCATAGACAGGGACACCGCCTGCAGCAGTAGTAGTCGCCCGCCCAGTACAGCAGTCGAATCACACCAAGTGCTACATGCAACATGACTGCTTAAATGCCTCGAATTGAGCTTATCGAGCAGGCGTTCAAAGTAATAAAGTATGAGAGTGAGATTAATTCACCCACCCCCATCCGACCCTGTACTTATACTTGAGCCCATTGTACAAACAAAACGTGCGCGACGGAGAAAGCTCGGCCTTGGGCCGGGAATCATGAATCAGTCCATCGCTATCGTGCAGAGATCTCCAGAGCCCGGAGTCTCAGCGGACCGGAGCGATCCCTAAGCTGAATGGTGACCAATGGCACTCGTGTTAATCAAAGCCAATGGAGCCACTGCACGGTGCCTTTACGATCATGTTGACTATGCGGCCTTGTCGGGAACTACAAATCTTATTGAATCATAATAGTCCGTGATACGACGACTTCTATGAGGCATTTGAGGGCCAAGTATGCAAAGGTCTGGATGATAAGGGTGCTCAGGTCATCTGTCAGGCAGTGACACCTGCCGCCCATGAAGCATTACTCCAATTCCCACCCCCTCTCCTCCTGCTTCGTGGCATACCACTGCTTCACATACTCCAGGCCAGTGTGTGGCCCATATGGCTCAGCCTCCCACAGTGGGATCGGGGCAGCAAGCCCCGTCTCTTGTAAACATGACTTTTGTAGCTCGTCCAGACTGCCTCCGCGGTCATAGATGATGCCATCCGTCAAAAGGCTCCGCATATCTGCCCTCAATTCTTCTGTTTCCCGAGTACAGACCATCCCATCATCATCGAGCAAAACACCATACCCGTTGCGTGCACCCTCCACCGTCACCAATTTCCGACGGACATCCATTGCAACTCGCTCAGCGGGTCTAGTAAGAGGATCGCCCAACCCACCACCTCCCCACGTCACCCATTCTAACAAATCCCCCGGATCCACACGTATATGGTCGCATTTAGACGGCAGGGTCTCCGTAACTGGACTATCGGCACTGCGAGAGTACCTATACAAGATCTTCTGCGAACGTTGTCCCGGTTTTCCCCCTTTGAGACCCCATGGCTTTGTGAACCACCGATCATCATGCAGACTGATCTCCCCCCTGGCTAGGAATCGATAGAGGGTTCGTTGTGCATTGCCTCCTCGGAAGTATCCCGGCCCACCGCTATCCGCGACGCTCTCGTTTGCTTCAATCCGAAGGGGGTAATTCAGCTCAATGCTCTCCGTTGGAATTGACTTGATAGCGGGGAACAAGCAATGGCAGTCCAGTCCATCGCCTGCTGCTCGAGCCGGAACCCCGCCAAAGCCAATCTGATATAGTTGATACCATTCCCCAGTGGGGTAGTATCCGGAATAGAAGAAATGGGGCGAATCGCTGAACCCAGCTGCCGCTACATAGGCATCGTTCTTCTGCCCGATCAGAGCTTGAATCACGTCCATGGTCCGGCCTAGGAAGTGTGTGCGACAAGAAATTGGGGCGGGCCGGACTGGCTTTAGAACGGTGCCTTCGGGGATATGCACTTCAATGAGGTCGTGGAACCCGTCGTTTATGACTGTTCCCGGGGCGGCAGCGGCAATGAGGTAGTATCCCACCAGCATCTTGAACATAGTCTCTGAGAGATAAAAGTTGATGCTGTGCTCGCTCTGGGGAGACGTACCACTCCAGTCGAACTTTAACCCCCCTGCGTTGGTTTTCTGCATCGAACATGTTACGGCCCAGGGCCCGACGCCGTGGCCGTCGTCGTCGACGAAGTCGGTGAACTTGCTGAGTTTATCGTCGAATTGGCGCTCAACAATCTTGGCCAGACCAGTTCGATTCCGGTGTAGAAGCTCCTGACAGGCAGCTAGATACACCTCGGTTCCGAAGCGGGTGGCCAGCTCGGAGATGCGCGTTGCTGCCATGCGACATGCCGTCACCAGAGCTGTCAGATCCGATCGGTACCACGCCGGTTGGCGGGAATTTCGACATAGCAGATCAACCAGGTCGCTGTTCATCACCCCCTGGGAGTAGAGCTTGATGCATGGAATCTGGACTCCATCATCATAGATGGAGGTGGCGTTGATGGACATGCTCCCCGGAACCATGCCGCCAACATCGGTCAAGTGTCCAAATTGAGAAGCCCAGCCGATCAACCGATGTTCATGGAATATAGGAAGGATGATGATCACATCATTTAAGTGACTGACAGCCCCCTTGACCATGTATGTGTCATTGGTAACGAAAACATCGCCTTCTTCGATGCTTCCCGTCCACACCCCAAGGAACTCTTTGATGAAGCTGCCGAATTGGCCCACGAGCATCTTGCCCTCTGCAGTTGTGATGACGTTGAATTCATCTTGCTGCTCGCGGATAGCAGGAGACATGCTGCAGCGGAGCATCAATTTGTCCATTTCGCCACGGATGCATGCCAGTGAAGAGGATATCAGAGTTGCGATGAGCGGATTACTGCACATCAATTCTGCTGCTGATTCCGAGGTATGTTGCTTCGTTGGGGGTGGTTGCTCTGCAATTGGCAGGATGAGAATATTACCCAGGCGATCGATCTCACCTGAATAGCCGGGAAGAATCAGTGTGTTGCTGTCCATCTCCGTGATGATGCAGGGTCCTGTAACCCGGATACCTTCGAGAGTGATTTTCTCTCGCTCCCACACTGTCGCTAGCTGTTCTCGGCCCTCGATAATGATAACCTGCGTGCCAATGACGGCCGAGGATGGAGGCTCGCTAGATTCTGCTTTAGGGACTAC